AACTTGACCTGCGTATTATGAATATTCATCAGTTCTGTAAGTTTCAAGTCAAAAGGTAAAATGGTTTTCCACTTATCGTGTTATCGGTGCTGCATATATGCTGAAAAAAGTGAAAAAACAGCATAAATTCCCTAAAAGTGACCCGATCATGCTGATTTTCGAACTTGACCTGCGTATTATGAATATTCATCAGTTCTGCAAGTTTCAAGTCAAAAGGTAAAATGGTTTTCCACTTATCGTGTTATCGGTAAAAGTGCACGGCGACGGCGACGACGGCGACGACAGCGACGACGGCGACGACGACAGACGCAGATGATGGCTATATGTACAGACACATCTGTGTCTGTACATAAAAAAAAAAAGCGAAAGCGTTAATAATTCACCAAAATTTCTTTTCTTCTACCAATGACAAGTATTATCACATGCATCACTCCCTGCTTGTTCCAGGGTAAGATGTGAAGTGTAGCCTCTTCCTAAGTAGCTACACCCTAGACTGACGGGGAAATAAAATACATTGCTCTTATGCTACTTTTCACGGCAGCAGGACTGTATCCTCCCCAGGTAGGTGACAACGGCTACACCCAGTCTGTATCATACACATAACACAGACTGGCTTCAAGAATTATTTGTATACGGTGAACATTTTACGAGCTTATTTGCCATTCCGTAAAAACATTTTACTCTAACACCTGATAGGCACAGTTGCTTTTTTTAATGAATTAAAACAATTGAAGCTTTTTGCAAATAAAATACGTGTTCAACGCAACCTATCACATAATAGGAGAACCATTTAAAAAGAAAAACACTCAAGTTTGAAAAATATGTTTATTGTCAATATATATTGAAAGATTAAAACTAGACGATTTCAACAGGACAAGAAAGCAAAATTCCGGCAAACTATTTTTGAAGATATTTTTCTCCACATCATTATGCTTCTACTTTACAAAAATAGAGTAAGTGTACATGTCAATAAATATTTTTCTAGAAATTTCACACCAGCAAAAAAATATGAAAGGAACAAGTTTCATTGAAAATATTAATTTAGGGGAACACAACATTACTGATTGCATTTCGACTAAAGTAATGAATAGTGATTTAATCTTGTTAACAAATAATTAATTAATTAATATTGACTGCATACTATGTTAACCGTTTTAGGTTTCCCTTCTAAGCACATGCTCGCCTCTATATTGATTCTAATAAATATATCAACTCTGAGCTACTGGTACTAGTAACCAATACGAGGTCACCATCAAAAAGAAAATAATATATTTCATCCAATTCCTATGACTCATAGCTTTATTTATTGCATGCCCATCTCTCTATGTAAATATAGACGTCTCAACTATTGTTTATTCCTTTAAGAATTAAAATTTCTATCAATACTGTTTACAATTTAACAATCTCATTGGCAATTAACCGCTCAATTATTCACTGCAGCATCAAAGCTTGAACATCAACTGTGAAAATTTACAGTTCTATAATAAAAATAAATGTTTAGTAGATGAAGACAATTTGTCTGGCCCAATGTCCATTGTTATTACTTATACATTTTTCTAGCAAGCAATACAACAACTATAAATTTCAAACTTCTTTAACATTTTATGTCATTTATTACTTCACGTATACAGACGGTCCTCTCACACAACAAAGTCTAAGAAAGCCCTCAGCGGTGACTGGAACTCATCATTCGGCCATAACTGCCCCCACTGCTGGAGCTGCGAAAACTGGCCAAACTACCAGCACTATCAGGGCGTGGACTGGCTGCCAACGGCTCGTTCAGCCTCCCAAAGATGGCCTCGTCGTCTCTGAAACGGTTTAACTCGGCTCCTTTCTGTCCGAACTGGTAGCTGAGGTCATCCCCCATAGAGGCCTGGTAGATGTTGGTGTTGAAGGACTCTACGGGTGTGACGGCACGCTGACGTACTGGAGTCTTCTTGGGTTTCTTCCTCTTCCACAGGAAGCCTGAAGAGCAGATATGCACAATACAATGTACTGTGACTAGGCTATACAAGCACCGGTTTTGAAAATGATATGTTCGATTGTTTGTCTTGCTATTTAAAATAGAAATTCGAAGATATGACGGATTTGCAATGTGTCAGAATGCAGGTGTGATCATACTTGAAGGTATCCATGAACAATCACCAGGTGATATGATGTCAGTTGTGTGTATGTGTAGTTGTCAGAATACAGGTGTGAACATACTTAAAGGCATCCATGAACAATCACGAGGTGATATGATGTCAGTTGTGTCATATGTACATGTACTAGCATTATTGTGTCAACACATTGGAATTGTTCTTCTGTAAGCAATGCCCTTATGAACAAATTTCTTCAAAACTTGAAGATGTGTAAGCCTTTTAAACAGAGACAATCTTTTATTTGTAGTCAGGAAAAGAGTGCAGATGGAGATAAAATGATATAGTTATCTGAAGCATCTAGAGTTAAATTGTTTTATTCAGCAATATCATTACCCAGAAGTCCCAAGGCTGCTAATGTTCCCAGAATTCCTAGAGGTATTCCCAAACCAAGGCCAACCTTCTGACTGCTGTCGTCTGTGTCTGTTTTCTCATTGGTTAAAATTTGTTTCTCAGGGCCCTGGATAGAAACACAACATGACAGAAATAAAATCCAATATAGTAAACTTTCATTCATTTTCCCCTTATAACACAAACAGTGTTAATCACATAGAGATCTTATGTTAATGTAAATGTACAAGTTATGGAATTTCACATCAGTTTACCAAATAGAATCAAGCAATTAAAATAAAAATCTGACAACTTCTATGATTTCTCATTTACTAAGAAAATCTTTAATATTGAAAACATATGTCAGGGTTCTGTGACAGGGTCTTTAACTTCATAAATCATAATGAAATTTAGAAACCCTTACGAAAAAGTCCTATAGGATCCTATAAGATCCTATTGGATTCTATAGGAAATTAGCCCAATTACCTATAGGATCTATAAGACTTTTCATTTGGGAAGAAAAAGCAAACTCTCACCATAGGGTTGACGGAAGGTAGAGGGGTCACAGGGGGCACAACTAACCCCACACGTGCATTCTTCACATCAACGTCACTACAGTTTGTGCGGTTGGTCAGGACATCAATAATTTCATTCAAAGCCTCTGGAGTTCCGTTGTAGTATATAGTTATAGATGGAGCACACGTGCCACTAGGGGGCAGACTGGTAGGCAGTAAGGCGGAGGTGGGGGCAGCAGACGACTGGGAGATCTGAGGAAGAAAAGTGATAATTGTGAAATCTTAGATGAAATTTTTTCACTGGATAAGAGTGTGCATAGCCTTCTTTGTCAATTTAACCAAGTTTAACAATCTGTTGAAGAGGAGGTACCAGTGCACGTCTACGTTTTCAATAAAAACAAGATCATTAGCTTTGAGATAATGTTGAGAAAGTATATCTAACAAAATTCATTTCATGTGATATTTCAAGATATTCTCAAAAGCCACATTACCAGGAATCAATATCCTCATCAAAATGTCTACCAGGAGAAAAAGTAGTACACAAACTGCAAAATTTTGAAAACGGTTCTTCTGTCTTTTTTTCTTCACTTACCTGTACAGTAACCTGTCCAGGTGTTGTACCCCCTAGGCCTGGTTTACCTGGTATCACATTGATCTGAAAATACAATGAACATAAATATAGTCTGTAGAAAATAAATTGTTGCACATTATAGGCATTTAGGCATACAAAGTATTCAAGATGGAAATAGTCGGGAGGAGTATTCATGAAAGCTTTTTATCAAATCAAATTCTTATTTATTAAAAACATAACTTGGTTCATAATAGAGAACTGACTATATCAGATGTAAGCATATCCAAACAGATGGAAGATTTTTTGTATTCATGGAATTCTTTACCTGAGGTTTTATTCCAGTTGGAGAAGAAGGAGTTGTCTGAAACAGAAAACATGGGAGCTGAACTATTATTCTTCCTTGGTGCAACATCAACAATAATTGACTACTTCTATTGATAATTCAAACATTTCTTTTGTACATTACTTATTATCTATCTATTTATCTATCTATCTATCTATCTATCTATCTATCTATATGTATCTCACTACCTCTCTTTGGCAAAGTATATGCTTATATATTGTATTATATATGTACTGTCTTAGCCTTAAATTCTCAATTATGTCACATGTATTTTGTACATGCTGCTATCGCCACTAATCCTGCAGATACTATATTACTCAACAAATACTACTAGTTACAATAACTAGTGCTACTATGATATCTACTACAGGCCCATGTCAAAGTACCCCAGTACCTTGCTTTTCACACTGCTGTAGGTGTTGACCAGAGATGTCTGGATACCAGGTGGCGTGGCTGTGCTGTTGGTGGAAGTTCCTGTTGTTACCCTACTCTGAGTAGTCTGTTGACTGTTTACCTGTTGACAAAAATATTTTCCAGATGTTTTATGTAACTTACATGTAGCTATAATGTAATTTTTCCAGTTGCAAGTTTGAGATCTAAAAAAGTTGCTGGTAAAAGTTTAAAAGGAAAACCTCTTCTATGTTGAACTTGATGTTTCATATGCATGATAAATACAACAAATACATATGAAACTGGCATCATATTTTGACACAAATGCAACATATATATATAATCAGATGGTGTGGCTGCTGCAATGAAACATTTAAATGTTAATAAGATTATCCCACATTCTTTACAGATTTATTCACTTTAACTTACTGCGCTACTTGCTGGGGAAGAAACCATGTTTCCTGGAGTTGTCTTTGCCGAGCTGTCTGGAGAAGACTTAGTTCCTGTTGTAGTTGTCCCCTGCCCTCCATTACTATTACCACCAACACTGAAACTGAGAGAGGGAGTGACTGACACTGGTATTGATGACATGCTGACTGTTGATTGGCCAGACCCTGTAGAGGCTCCTCCCATTTTTGTTGTCATGGTAACCCCTGAAGTTGCAGCAGACGACCCACTGTTCAGTCCCCCTGAACTAGTATTCCCTGTGAGAGAACTCACAGTTGTTCCAGATGTTGGTAAGTTGCTGGAATGGAAGGTGGTTTTGACACCAGCAGTAGATTTACCACTTATCCCAGTCTCCTTTGTTGAGGTTGTTTCAGTGGTGATGTTAGGCATTCCTGGTATGGTTGTGACACCAGGGGGTGCTGATGATGGCACACTTGTTGACCTAAAGACAATCGATGCAGTGGATACATTATTACCAGCAGTCGTAGAATCCACCATCACTGTTGTTGGCACGCTGGGAGGAGTGGAGTTTGCAATATTCTTGATACCAGTTGACGTCCCATTGGTATGGTTGCTAGGCAACTCGGTGGTGAGTGGAGACAAAGTTGTGGTGAAGATGATGGCTGGTCTGGGACCTGAACACAGGCTGGAGAGAGAGCAGCAGAATGATTCATAGGTGACATAGTCTATAGACTTATGACATCATTATAATTTTCAATTACAGCTTTTTCATTTTCGTTTTTTTTTTATAGAAAGTCCCTCATTGAATATATTCACAATATGACACTACTATCAATTTTCTGGATAACCGTTTTCATTGCATTTAGACTTTTTCAATTCTTAAGGGAAAAAAATTCATTTTTGGCTGGCACAAATTTAAAAAAAACATAATTGCCAAACTCAATAAAATATATACTAGATAATTTTTTCATCAAAATATCTTCCTATGAAATACATGAATACTGTGAGAGCCGTGGAGCTGTTATGACACTAGCTGTCCAGTACCTGTGATAGTCTGCAGTATAGGTCACCCTGCTGGGGGTCAGTGAGTGACCATTGGCCAGTGCCACTCTCAGGGACCCCCCACTGTTCTGCTGCTGGACGAATCTCTCGGCCACAGAGACTAAGTTCACTGTGCTTCTCTCTGCCTTGTAGAATGTGAATGTTATGGTATCCTAGGATAACAGAGATTACAGCATCACAGTTTCAGTGATGTTATAGAGCAAAAAATGTATATCTATAAATTTCAACACATATATCTCTTTATCATTAAGGTATAAGTAAATAGTATTCATTATTCTTGGAAAAAGTGTTATCTATAAACCAATTTGAGTTTCAATTTCAAATGTTTCAGACACTTTTAAAAATAAAAATAAATAAAATGGCAATTGTTGCATTTCACAAGTAGCGGTAAAAATCTGACAATTGTAGTTTGAAAAGGTCAGGAAGATTGCACTTGTTTTGATTCCTTCAGCTTCATTAAAGCCTTTGCCTACAAATGCAGAAGCTTTTTTTGGATAAATTTCAATACTGAACATCTGAGAGCTGTAGAAGACTCACCCCTTGTATGTCTGTGACAGTTAATGTTGACATCACTTCTGCTGGCAACTCAGAGCTGAAGAAAGTCTTCAGTCCCTGAATAATATCAGTGTGAAATGATAAGATGTCTTCTCCTTGGAACTCCATTGTCATAAGTACACTGGAATATATGCAGAGAGGATATTAATCTATTGAATTTTGACTTGTATAGCATAGGTGGACCAACCTTGACTTTTAAGTCTTAAAAGACACAATGAAATTTGAGATTGCTTATATCTAATAATTTGTTTAAATTTTTTTAATATATAACCATCTTTACAAAGTTAACTTAATTGCTCAAAGCATATCTACTACCTTTTAATAATTAATTGAAAAATATTTCAGAAGCTTAAAGCCATTTTTGATATGACATTCTTATCCCCATCCTGTGCTGAAAGTGTGTGTAAATGATAAAGAGTTATTTACTCAGTGAAGTCATCTTTGTTCCTTGTCGGTATGTCAGTTTTGCCGTTAGGTCCCACCTTGAACTGGCCAGCTACAGAGAACATGGCGTCCAGCACAGTCTTGTTGTATGGAGAGAGATCAGACACCTGCATACTTCCCTGGAGGACAAACCTCACACCTTCCTGAAGATGATATACAAATATATGTGAATTTATACCATGAGCTTAGGCCTTTGTATAGCAGTTTCAGTCAGTAACAACTAAACCTTATTTGAAATTCCAGCAAATATCTAAAATATTTGTCTACTAAAAGTGTTGCAATTTCCAAAATTGTTGAGAAATTTATGATCTATAAACTCTTTAATTCATGTTTCTAATTATTTGCCCATTTCATAATGGAGATGGAAACTGATGATGAAATTTTGGAGTGAAGAAATATTCTCTATGTACAGGTCAAACATGCTGTATATACCTGTCATAGAAAAGCAGTCAACAAGATTTCATCTTTCAGATATATTTATAAATTTTACACCCTCCATGCATTTCTCATCATGATAATTGAAAAGCATATGTTTGGCAACACTAGTAAATTACATCTTAATGTAAATCATACTCATGGACAGATCCAGAACCCTCAACCCCCACCCCCACCCCACCTCCAACACCTCTTTGAAGCAGAGGAAAAGTTTTGCAACCAAAACTATGTAAAATACAACATAATACATTTGTTTTTGATACCTACTTCATTCACCATCACCTCTGGAATGTTCTTATCTGTGAGAGCTGGATGGAAACGTCTGACAAGATCTGCTCTAAAATTTCTTTCCACTTCTGCAATCTCTGCTGCATTGAACTTCATTGTCCTGTTACAGGGGATGAAGGCCTGGTATGGCAGCCTGGAGGTTTTAAAGATTTTTTAAAAGTTGTTTTCAGAATTACAGCAATCTTAATTATGGCACCCACTCAAACTAAAAGGTAACAGAAAGGTCCCTTGTGCATGATCAGGTATTGTGATGTCCACTCACACCCCTTACCACCCCCACCCCTCTCTAACTCTCACCTCTCTGTCAGGTAACAGTTATCACCACAGTAAGGTCCTTCACCTACAGTACACCACCCACATCCTGGCATACTTCCCACCCCACACACCCCTACTACACCCAACCCTCCCTAACTCTCACCTCTCTGTCAGATAACAGTTATCACCACAGTAAGGTCCTTCACCAACAGTGCACCACCCACATCCTGGCTTAGACACACATGTAGCATGCTGAGTGCTGAAAATGAAAAGATAACTCATTTGAAATTAGTCATACATATATACTGAATGTGTTTGCTGTGACAATGTTCTAGTCTTGAACATTTTTAATGTGACAATGTTTTATACAGAAATATGTAAGGTGTGACAATGGTTTACACAGAATGTGTTAGGTGAGACATGTTTTAGAAAATGTGTTAATTGAGACAGCCTCACCTAGTGCTGCACTCCTGGTCACACATAGACTCAAATGAAAATGTCTTAGTCTTCCCTATGACCTTGACCTCATTTCCAGCCACTATGGCCTTGACTTTGCCACTGTCTATAGCCCTGAAAAAAGCCTCTGCTTCCGACTTCAAATTTATACTTGTAAGGTTCTTCGGCTTACTGAGAGCAAAAGTAAGGTTATTCTGAAAAATGAAATAGTTTACAGCTTGTATGCAAGTGCTTTCTAAAGTGGATCCATCAGATTTACAGAACTATTAGCAATCTTTTAGGAGACTTACTTAATAATAATGTGATGCATATGGCTAAAAAATAACAAAACTGCACATTTAATGTAAAATGAATGTATAATATAATAAATTGTATAATGATGGTGGTAGCAGACAGAGAGTCACCAAATTATGCATATTTGGAAGCAATGCCTCAACAAATCTTAAATTAATAAAATGAACCAGTTGCAACAATGGTTATAACAACTTACAAATAAATTTATAAAATCCTTCAAAAGTTTTACTCCAAAATCCAGTTTCTAACGTTTCTTAATACCAAGATTTCTGGATATTACAAAAATTAATTGAAATTGAAATTCATCCATGGCAAAGATTAACAAAAATCTAGAGCCTGTACTAAAGTTTCTTGCCATGTTCCAAGCAGATGCAAAAAATTCTGAAACCTTCCAAAGTTTTACAGAAGTCCCAAGCCCAAACTAGGATGTCTTACCCCATGTAGACTCAGATGTCCCAGTGACCTGACAACCGCGGCACTGAAATAGGATGTCAACTGTTTCTCTAGCTCTGCCATTATGTCCTTCCTCAGACTGTGAGAGCGGGCTAACAGCTGGTCAAAATCCACACCATTTAATATAAGAGTGAAAACAGCACTGGAACAGAGAAATAGAGTGATGCAGGTTTAAAATCTAATTACAGTGTTTCATAAAATTATAAAAATATTATATTTATTAACTACATACTCAGTATTTTTTGTGCTTGGAAAAATTAAATATGATTTTTTTTCTCAGTTTGCTGATTGCAAAGAAGTCCGCTTGAAAGTCCGCATATCACATGGATATGATTGGACTGATTTAATTAAAAATAGAATCGTCATAAGCAAAAAAAAAAAAAATGAAAAAAAGCACTGTCATTTCCTTCTAATCAAAAACAGCTAGGAAAAGTGGTGAAGATTCTGTCAATTCTGACAAAAAATAAAATTTTACTCTGTCTGATACACGAAAATGTGATTCTGATCTCACTTGGTGTAATCATCAGCAGCCGACACTGTGAAGGCACCAGGTTCTTGCTTGGTGCCAAGTTTGAAGTTAGTCATGGCCAGAAGGTTCTGGATCTTCTGTCTGGCATCTGCTATTGATAGCCCCTTCAGTGCTGCTTGAATGGCAAAGTGGATGGTTTGCTGTGTACAGTAAAAATAGTTTCATATCATGTTCTATTAGCATTACAGCAACTTTTTCACCAAATGATAATAAAACAGATAGAAAATGTCAAATATTTTCTCTTTCTAAGGTAAATTTCATCTATTATTGAATTAAATCCATTCGTGGTCATGTATTACTACTGGTATAATACTAAAACAATAACAATGTAGCAACTCATTAGGAGTTCAGTGATGCTGGTGAGGCTATCAGAATATAAAGAAATGCCCATTACCCCCTGAAGAGTAAGGTTCTGAATGCCTTTATCAGTGACCGGTGCAATAGCCAGAATTTTTGATCGGAAATCTTGCAGCAGTTCCTGCTCATCTGCAGGTGTCAGTGTGTCTGGTAGGCATGGCAGGAACACACTTATGTCAGAGAACCTGTGATTGGTCAAAAATAAACCAACTAAAATTGATGATTTAAACTTTTTCACACAACTATAAATAATATATCTGGGCAGTGATAAATAATTTTTTTGCAATTCACCAGAAATGCAATTTTTCTTAGCAAATTATAAAATTTTAAATCATGGCAATTACATACACCAGTGTTTTCACACTGCCACTTGTCCTACCTCTCTTGCAGAAGGCAGTCGTCACCACAGTATGGCTGGTTGTCAAGGTAACACCAGTGACAGCGAGGCTGGCCATCACAGATCATCTCTGTTGTTCTACAAAATAAATTAAGATACCATTATAATTAGTTTCTCTTTCAATGACAGGTGATTTAGAAAGGGCAGATTTTTAAATTATGTGTATCTTAAACTATTAATTATCAGGACTGAGGGTTCGGAAACAGAATATAAAACAGACATCTGATGCAATATTTGAAAAAGATACATAAAATGATTTAAATTTATGTAACATTATCCCAAACCAGTCTGACCTAGAAGCCTACTTTCATAACTGTATCACAACTATTTCAATGTTCACAGGAAATTAAAACAAAATTCAACCCACCCATTTTGTGGGGAGCATGGTTGAGGACACAGATCCTCAAAGCTTCCCTCCACCAACACATCTTCAGCCTGAAGGGTCAGTCCACTGACCTTGACATTGACCGCCCCCTGGTCTACAGCTGCCTTCAGTTTGGCCGCCTCAGAACTCAACAGATTAGCTTGACTAGTTGTGGTCTTGTTCACTGAGAATGAGATGTAGTTCTGGAATGTGGAATGATATTATAAAGAGTTGGACTACAGAAAAAAGTGTGACAGAATATTGTGTTAGATGAGACAGTATACTTAGGTAAATGTAACAGAATACTTTGTAAGATGTGACAGTATATTGTGATAGATGTAACATAATATTGTGATAGATGTGACAGTATATTGTGTTAGATGTGACAGTGTATTGTGTTGGATGTGACAGTATATTGTGATAGATGTGACAGTGTATTGTGTTGGATGTGACAGTATACTGTGTTGGATGTGACAGAAGTAATAAGACACACAAACTCACCCCTCTGATCCACACATCATCCACTGTCTGTGCGACCTCCTGAGCCATATGAGAGCTGACCAATGTGTAAAGCTCTTGCTTCAGTTGGTCCCTCAGGGATAGTGACCTCATCAGCTGGCTGTCAAAGTCCACCCCCTTGAACAGCACTTTCACCTTCATACTGGAATATAGAAAGGCAGAAAAAATCCTTCCTAAAGAAATAATACCAACATTTTTCAATTTCAAACTTCTACATGGGAATAGCCCCATGTTATGCCATCCCCCCTGATTTTGACTTATCCTGCAACAAATTAGGAACCAAGCATTAACAAGAAGAAGAAACAACGGACCACTGGCACATACTTGGTGTAGTCTCCAGCCTCCCGTGTCCTGTACTGGCTGGGACTGGAGTCAGGACCTATCCTGAAATCCTGGGACCACGCCAGCAAGTTCTCAAGATGGCGGTAAGTCTGGTTCAGGGGCGGATCGTTCATCACAGCAGCTAGGGTGAAGGAGAGGGTGTCCTGAAAAAGAGTAAGAAAAATGATAAAACATACATATTAAGTAAAGCAAAAAAGTAATTATAATTTATAAAGGACAAAAACAACACTTCTGACTGAGTAAAAGCAGGATGAGTAACAGGTGCTCCAAAAATTAAGAAAAAAAAGAAATCATACAATTTATAACTGAACAAATGTAGAAAATTATTAGTATTTGTGAAAGACCATCTTGGCTACATGAACATTTGCCAGTGAAATGGAAATCTGAACACCTATAAATGATATAACCTTAGCCATAGAAACCTGACCTTAGTAAATGTAAAGTTCCGTAAAGCTTTGGCTGATAATCCAATGGCAGAAGACCGTATTTTGTTCTCAAAATTCTTCACCATTTGAGTCTCCTCCTCAGTGGTCAGTTTGTCCAGGCAGGGGACAGAGGTGGACACTACTATCCTGGGTTATATAATAATAATAATAATAATAGTAATAGATTATAAAAAAAAATAATAATAAAAGAAAAATATTTTATAAAAATGGTTCAGGTAAAAGGGAAAGAAAATATTATTGTTATGTAAAGTACTAGGTGGTGCAATTTGTGTCATATATGTAGGGTTGTTTTACATAGTCTATGCATTTTTGAAAATGAACAAGATGTCAAACCCACTGTGACAAAATGACTGTTTGACAAAATTGTACAGTTTTTTTGACATCTTTGAATATAGAGACATACAAATGGTTAACAATGAACTTCAAAGTAAAAGGTGTGTCACAATGAAAAATGTTGTGCAAAAAGCCTTCTACATTATAAGTGCTTCATTCAAGTATTTGTATGGTTAAAGGAGCCTCGTGTTGATCACTGTCACAGCACTGATGCGTCATATATGATATAATTCCCGGGTCACAATTACCTTTCTGGCAGCAGACAGCTGTTAGAGCAGGCCAAGACAAGACCAATACTACACCAAGCACATCCTGTCACTGCGTCACATGACAACTGGTCTTTTCTGGAATACAGAGCACGGCAATATACAGGTATGTGATTAAGTAACTGGCTAGATACAGTACATGTACCTGTACGCAAATACACACACCCCTGATGGTTGAAACACACATTTTCATTCACAAATTGAAATCAACTGCCTGGTAAACATAACCAGGAACATACTTTATTATACATGTACATATACACAAAAAAATTACACACATGAGAGAGGGAGTGAGCTTAAAGAGAGAGAGAGAGAGAGAGAGAGAGAGAGAAAATGCTGAAGCAGAGGGAGAGAGAGCGTAAAGAGAGGGAGAAAGCTTAAAGAGAGAGGGGGGAAGGGATATTACATTTTATACCTCTCAGAGCACGTTATTGGACAGATATCCTGGTAAGAGCCAGTCACACTAACTCCTGTAGGCACCCTGTTTACCCCCTCTATTGTGACATGGATGCTTCCAACTCCTACTTCAGCTTCCAATCTCTTTGCATGGTCCATTAAGTCTAGAGGGGAACCAGGTGGTTTGGTGATAGCAAAGCTGATGTGGCGCTGTAATGTGATTAATTGGTTCCATTGTTTTGTTCCACTTTTTTGGGAGGAAATATACTAAGCCACATTTTAACCCAACATAAGTCACTGACAGTTTTTGTATCAAAAATTGTCCAAAAAGAATGAATTAACCAGATTTGAACTTCATTAGCAACATACAACTTGTATCCACAAGTGCACAAGAAATCAAACATTTTTAATTTTGTCTTAGATACTTGGTTCCATATTGTTTTATAATAACACTGTATTGTATTTTCCCTACTGCTGTGTATGTATCTCAGTGCTTGTGATGTAACATACAAAACAGGATATTACGCTCTTTATTTTCTTTAGATTTTCTACATAAAAATTCAATTCACTTTTAATTTTTGATGTCACAAACCTGATCAATTCTTATATCTTGGACTCTGTTGGCTATAGTCTTGTTCAGAACCATGTCTACTATGGCGTGTACTGACTGCTCAACCTCCTGACGCGCTGTCAGTGGATTCTTCTTCAAGACATTCACCAAGTCAGCATTTTTAAAGGAAAATTTCACATGGACCCTGCAACATTAGGGTTGATAGTATCAAATGATCTCAAATGACACTGCAAATTCCAAACACCATTTCATTTCAGTTGGTGTGGCTCTCTATGGTTTGACCTTCACATTGCTTAATGTCAATAATATAAAATACATTACATTTTCTATTAACAGATAATAAACATTAAAATGTATAAACCATGCAGAGAAATGTGGGCATTTAGGCACTTTCTTTACACTCACACTTACATGGTAAAGCCATCACTGGTGGTAGCTGTGTATTTGTTGGGGTCAGAATTTGAGCCAACAGCAAAGTTGCTCTGCAGCCCCCTCTGGAGGATGCCCAAACTCTCCACAACTGGCGGGTCTTGCATCGTGCCCTGAAGGATGAAGCTGAGGCTTCTTGGCTGGAAAATTATAATAAACATACAAAGTATTCAATTATTTCAATGTCAAGCTATGATAATATAGTGATAAAGGACGGTCCCATTTTATTATGATAAACATTATGCATTTCACAGTTCAATGACAAAAATATCACACTTGACTATCTCTAACTTATAAAGTAAACTTAACAACTATACTAGTATATGTCAGTTCCAAAGACACCAACGAGATTAACAACAGTCAAACTATCCAATCTAACCCCCCCCCCCCATTTCCTCCCCCCATGTATACACTAAGAATATCTGACATTTACCAAATTGAACATGAAGGAGTGAATGGCTTTTGAGGAGACATTGGGCAACAAGGCACGGATGGATGCCTGGAAGTTTTCCCGTATTTCCTCAGCTTCCTTCAAAGAAAGGGATCCCAAATCCATGCATGGGAAAAACACTGTGACATTTTTTCTGAAATAATTCAAATTTAAATATCAGACCTGTGTCACCACATAATTGGTGCATAAAATAGGGACACATACTGGCCTGTCCCAGCTTGCATGTGTAAATTAACCATAAACAAGATAGCCACATCAAAATAACTTCTGATCAGACAGTAGTAAATGTATCATTGATTTATATGGTTTTGCCTTCAAATTGTGTTGGATATTAAATCTTATTGTCTGATAAAACATTTGTGTTAGATGTGACAGCTGTGTTAAATGTGTTCAATGCGATAACTGATTGTGTTGATTGTGACAGCTAATTGTGCTACACATGTCAGCTGATAACGTTACATTAAAGTTGTGACAACTGATTGTGCTAGTTGCGATGGTTGTGTTGGATGAGACAGCTAGTTGCGTAAGATGAGACAGTGGATTGTGTGCTGCACATTTCATCACCTCTCCACCAAGTAACTATTGTTGGAGCAGATAGGTGGAACATCATAGTCTCCCCAGTCACAGCCAGGAATAAGGTCACAGCTGCTGCTGTTACCACTACAACAGAAATAGACCAGATATTAAATGTAGGGTTAACACAAAACTACTTGTTAACAGTAATAACTTGATCTTTTCAATGGAGATAAATGAATGTGCAGTTTTTAGAGGCATAATTTTAGGATTCATTAAAATATGTATCTGTGTAGAATTTGTGGTTTTTCTGTACAGAATAGAACAACATTAAGGTAGCCTGCTTTTCAGTTTTGTAGCTGCCACTAAATAGGAATATTTTAATTTTTAGGAATTATGAGTTTAAAAATACAATATTCATACCATGTAAAAACACAAAACAAAGTGACCCCAGCACTACTGGAACATATTTCAGTGCATGCACTCACCCCTCTGAACAATCTTTGGGACATAGTTCATGGAAGGAACCAAACCACTCGACCTTGGGTGGGACAAATTTTTTGGCTTCGATCACTCTCAGAACCCCTGCCTGGATTGCAGCTCTGACATTGTCCACTAGATGGAGCAGTGACACAGGACTGTCCACAGGCTTACTGAAGGTGAAGGGTATGTAGTCCTAGGGAGAAAAAATGTTTGTGTGAATTACATTGAAAATGTTTCATATAAGTCTATGATGAATTCCTTTGGCTAAAAAGGTCTTAATAATACCTTTATGCAGGGGCAGATTAAGGCCGTCTTCTGGGTCATCTGGAAGACAGTAAGAATTTTTTCAAGTTTACATTGATGGGCATCTAATTTATCTGTTGGAAAACAGTCAAAAATGGAGGATGGATCATTAGAGATAATTTGGAAGACTGCCAGAAAATATTTCTGGATTTGCCCCTGCTAATGCTACTAAGACTTAAGTGAGTTTCACAAAGAGTCTAAAAGACCGCTACGTCAATTTTCTGCCTTTAACTAAGCTCCATGAGCAAATTGTCAGTGCTGGTATTGACAAAGTTTTTTACTGTCCAAGATGACAGCGTTACATTTAGGCATGCTAATTTGAAATACTTTTACTTTTTATAATCCAGAAATTTCATCGATTTTTATTGCATTTTAATTACAATGGCCAGAAAACCCAGAATGCTTTAAAATATTTTTTGATAAATAAATAAATTACAAAATCTGCTGCACAGTGAAATTTTTGAGAGTTTCACAAAACCATTTTTAACTAAAAGATCACACACATGTATAAATGCTACAGCCCAAAAAATGGTTCACTTTTTTCTAAATCCTCGACAGTGTGCTGAACATAAAAAGATATAATCATACATACCCTTTCCAATACTTAATAACAACATAACACACATAATAAACATGATATAAACAGAGACAGATCAATACCTTCTCCATCCAGAAATTGTCCAGGGTAGCGGTCACATCTGGGTTGGAAATGGCGACTGACAGGGAGCGACGTATTTCTGACGTAAATTGCTGTCTGGCTGTGAGAGACTGCCCAAATTCATAATCAAAGTCAGTACCACTATAGACCAGCTTGATACGAATGCTGGAGGAAAAAGAAAACAATCGAAAAATGTAATCAACTTTATCTACCAAAACAGCTTCATACAAATGCCAGATGAAAAACATAACACATCATACACAATTTTACTTGTATTAAAACTATCATTTAAAATAGTCAAATTTACCTGATTATTTGATAGTCTAAAATTGCATTTTGTATCACTCTATATAACCATATTAATACCTAAGATAGTGTGAGACAGGCACAAACATCTCTATGTAATTAAACAAAAAACACTAAAACATGTACATAAATCAATGTAATTATGACTTACTTGGTAAAATCTTCGGGATCCCTTGCCCTGTACTTGCCCCTGTTGGTGTCTGGTCCCACTGTGAACCCCCTCTGCCAGTGAAACAACTCCTCTAGATGGCTGTAGGTCTTGTTCAGAGTGGGGTCCCTCATAGTGCCCTGTAGTGTGAACTGAATGATATCTGCACTGTTCTGAAATATATAATACAATATAATATAATAGGTTCACTTACAATATGTTGCTTTTACTTTTAAAAAAGCCAAAAAATGACCAACCTTGAAGAAAATAAGACCATATAGCATATAATTGAGACCCCTGTCTCACCCCTCCTCAACCTGTATATGTGTGAAACTCTCACCTCTTCAAACTTGAATGAATGTAAAGCTTTGGCCGACACATTGGGGAGATGGCCGTACAGCTGGTTCCTAAAGTTAGAGAGAATCTGTGTCCTCTCATCCTGGGGGAGACTGGTAAAGTCAGCACAGGGGAAGAATACCTTGGTCACGATGCTGAAATATGGTGTAACATGAATACTAGTCAACTGTGTTGTACAGGGGAAAAACACCTTGGTCTCTATGCTGAAATGGTATTACATGAATACTAGTGGACAGAGGTACAATTTGGTTCATGAACAAAATTCATTCAAGTTTTCAAAAAGACAAACATTTACATGGTTAATAATGATGTTGTAATTGCAAGTCATAGAAAAAGGAGAATGATATTTAAGAATTTGCTAGAATAAGAGAAAAGAGCTGCTAATTAGTTCTTATTTCATCATTTACTCAGAACTGAAATCACCATCACAGGGAAAAAGATATTTAATCAACAAAGACTATTGATTAACTACGGGCAGAAGACAAAATTCATAAATATTCAAGACATTTTGACTCGTACCTTTCTGCTAATAAAGCATTATTCTGGCAGGTTTTGTTCTTGTCATAATCTGACCAATCACAGCCTGGTATTGTCATGCAAGACATTTTGTCTACACTGAGAAGAAAAACAGAAAAAAAAAATTATTAGCTGAAGTCACTTCTTTCTACTTATTTTCCGCAACTATGGATTTGGAAAGTAAAAGAAATTAAAATCAAAGAAAAGTATTTAATTTTAAAAATGTCCAATCCATTTCTTTATTTTAAATAAGATAGCATACATTACCATTGTAAAAAGTGCATAAAATAAGACAATTTGGCAACCAAACTAAAATAATAAAACATATCATTTGAAGAATTCTACCGGTACATTACCAACTGACTCTGAAATCAAATAGTGTGAAATGATACTGTGACAGTATCTGAATTTCAAATTTTATTATAACAAATTTAACTATTATTCAAAACAGATGCCCTGAGAGCGACCCATCCTCACCCGTCGGAGCACTTTCTTGGACAAAGAAGTTCAAAAGTTCCCTGGTAGGAGGCAGCACTTGCTGTGACAGAGCCAGCTGGTCCAAGATGAACTGAAACCTGGCTGTTGTTGACTTTTTCTTGAAATGTGTAGAACTCTTCCACAAGGTTCACATCACTGTCAAGGCTTTTGGAGATGGTGAAGGGAATAAAATTCTGAAAACAAAATTGTTATTCTTAATAGCTAAAACATTTTTTATTCAAAGTTGTTTCTCTTTTTTACATGTTTGACATGCAATATGATTTCTGTACCAATGCATAAATTTCAACTGGTCCTAAAGTGACGCATACATATATTCTCCTAAATCATATGAACGAACCTCATCTTCTCAATCGCAGCTACCTAATATTATCTAAGTTTCTTTAATTATGTGACTTTCTAAACCTCAGCTTCTCCATCTTCAATCCTTAGGTTAATGTCAAGTACAGTGGCTTCTGAACCTCACCTTTTCCATCCATATATCTGCTATGGTGGCAGCCACCTCAGGTCGAAACACCGCCATCACCTCATTCTGAAGCTGGCCAATCAACTGTTGCCTGGCATTCAGGGGGTCACTTTGCAGGAACTGGTCAAAGTCCACAGTATCCGGGAAGGTCAGGTGTACTCTTAGGCTGTAATTTTTTTAAGGGATTTAAAGATTTGTGAGTAGAATAATATGCATGTTTGAAAACAGGTTGTCTAAGAGAATACCCTGGTTACGCCGCTACCAAATTACTGCATACTAGACAAATCAAAGGAGTCATTCCCAATGAATATGTCTATATAGATCATACCAATTCCACAGGGACTCTCGCTGAATGGAATCATGTTAAGAGATTAACACCACTTTCTGATATTGAACCAAGTTATTATACAAAAATGTTTGAAACAAGGAGGTATTTAAATTAATGTGTTAATCTGATTGCATTCAGCCAGCCCTTACAGAGTTGCACTGATCTACTTAAAACGGTAGTTTCTTTGAAAATGAGCCCTAAGACAAAATGTATGAATCTCCAATTAAGTGAACATTTGAAAAAAAAAATGACCAAGTATGCCATCACTAAAGCTGCATATTCAAATTCAGCTGAATAAATGAAAGATTAAATTAATGTTGAAAAAAAATGCTTTTAAGCTTTTAAATATACATTCTCACACTTACTTTGTGAAATCGTCATATTTCCTTTCTCTGTGCATGCTTCTGTACGCAGACACATTCCTGTGTGGGCCGACACGGAAATTGCTGACCCAGCGGAAAGTCTGGTTGAGCTGATGGTACGAATCAAACACGGGATCGTCTTGCATGGTGCCCTGTAGGGTGAAGCTGATCCTGCTCCCATGGAGTGGGTGGCCCTGAAAAGGACAAACAGATTCATCCACAAAAAAAGCATCTTTTGTGTGCCAAATTAATCTACAAGAGGTCTAGCAATTAAACCTAGGAGCCATAATTTAATCCATTTAATGGCGCAGGTGCAGTCAGGGAGACCATCAGCCCAAAAGTCAGCTTTCTTCTTATGTGGGTCCCCCATATTTGATCTGCAGATCTGTTAGCCTGCAGATCAGTTTGTTTCAAATGCTCTTATTTGCTCTCAATATACTAGTATTAATATTGTGTATATCCTATACCATGGGTTATTTGTCTAACTTAATTGTAACAAGTACTATACCAAGTGTAATACCAAACACTGTAGCCATCTCTCTCTCACCTGTTGTATTCTAATGCTGTGAATGGCTTTCTGAGACAGATGAGGCAAAACATTTTGGATGGCAGTCATGAAGTTTTCCTTGGTCTCTTCTTGCTCTTCTGGAGTCAGTTCATCAATGATGAAGGCACACGGGAAATGAGCTGTCACCACCGCCCTGAGAAATATATATTATTGTATTAATTATAGTACATACTATTACTGCTACAGATACAGAATAATCGATGGAAAATATAATACAGTGGCTTGCAAAAAATTAAACATTAGTAAGAGAGAAAAGGAAAATTAGAAAATGTCAAAAGAGAGAGAAATACATATAACAGGTGAAATAGAAGGTGAAGTGGTGATCGAGAGAGAGAGAGAGAGAGAGAGAGGGAGAGGGAGAGAGAGAGAGGGAGAGAGAGAGAGGGAGAGAGAGAGAGGATTAAAAGTCAGAACCCTTTTAATGCCTTAAACTACATTACTCCACCAGACGCTTAAATCAAGTCCATCGTAAACTCAGCAAGGTTCATCACTAATTCGAACGCAGCCNAGGAGAGAGAGGAGGGAGGGAGGGAGGGAGAGAGGGAGGGAGGGAGGGAGAGAGGGAGAGGGAGGGAGGGAGAGAAGCATATGGTGGTGGGGGGTTTACCTCTCAGCCAGGTAGCTGTTGTTAGAGCACTGTTGTGGGTTGTCAAAATCTCCCCAGTCACACCCAGGGATGTCATCACATGACTGCTTGTCTAATCTAAATAGAAGACACAAAAATAAAGAAAGAATAAATAGACCAAAATAGGCCCAGTTGAGTATAGCTAACTGACATTTGCAGCAAAATTTATGACACAGTCTCAACGAGTTTGCAGAAAAATTTGCACTTGTAAATATGCTGCAAATTTGCAGGAGCATCTTTAAGTTTGCAACAGACCTCATCTACAAGGTAAAATTAATGCCTTCTTGTACATTTGAAGAGATATTTTGCAGCATGCTGAATCTTTCTGATGGTTTTTATACACATACTAGTACATCGGATCAGTAATGCATATTTATAATTTTCATAATCCTGTAAAAACACTCCTCTTAGAAGAAAAGAAATTAAGTTTCAGTAAACACTGCATTAATTGGAACAAAGGAAGCACTGTATCCTTTTTTTCATTGCTTGGTCAAATTTTATTATAGGCATTACTTTTTTATTTCAATAATTCTTATTTTAATTGAGACTGTAAATTTCTTTTGTTAATAATCATAAAATAGATGAAATTTGATCGACATTCAATGCCAGAAACTGACAAAATTAAAGGTTTTCTGTCTCAATCATCATTGTAGCTTTTAAATTCTATTGATCGAAATGATAACCCTAAATAACACCTGGTAAAAAAATGAAAATTATTTATTATTTGTAATGTCTGGAACAAAAAAAAAGTTAACTACATGTATCTGTACTAAATTTGATCTTTGTCTAGTGCAGTTTCCAACTTATCAGTCACCTCAGCTGCTGTTAATCACAGAGTAAATATCTGTCAACTTTTAATGCACAAAGATTAGTAAGAAAAATAATGTGGTTGTGTTCAGGTAATGACTCATCTCAGAGTCAACAGGTGACGTCCATAGAACAGGGATAAGCCAATGAGATCACTCTTTAATAGATGGTCCTAATTCTAAGGGAGCCAAAGCAGAGAGGAGGGGAGAAACAAAGATTTTTGCATAATTTCACAGAACTGAAAAGCAACTTACAATTTTCACAAAAACAATAAACTTTACTAACAATTTCTATCTGCATTGATTTAAAATATAATATATATCATTATTTACACAATTACATATCTAAAAGGATTTTCCGAAATGAAAATATTCTCTCTGCCGCTTCTCCCTATGTCTCTCATGACCACTCAGGTAAGCAAGCCAATGGCGTCACACCTGGAATTAGCATATCAACTGAACTAGTAGGTCACATCTTGTGTACACCACACAGAGTCGTTTGGATTTAAATCCATCATGGTGGACAACACTTAATGCAGCTCTTTAAGTGGACATTTTGGAAACATTAAACCAAGTGTGACTACTTTAAAGGTAAGGTTTATCTCACCTGTGTTTTGGTTATTACAAGGTAATTGTGAGTTTCTACCTGGTTGCCCCATAGATGGAAATTTGGAAAAAAAGTTCAACCAGTGAACACATTGTAATATATGGTTTAGGAAGTTATGGAGTCTAAGTGATACAGGACAGGGTCATAAAAAGAATTTTGGTCTCCATTAATCGAAGTATGGAAGGTTTTAAAACCTGATATTCATGTGAAAAGATGTTTAAACCAACACATCCCTAAAAACTGCTATTCCTGATGTCGTGAAACCTGTGATATGCACTTCATTTTTAAAAAAACACCTATGAGTTGGTCCAATGGACACAGGTGAGCTGAAACGCATAATTAATGATGGTAATGAAAAGCTATAGGGAACACACACAATTGGTTGAGATGGAAGACCATTATATAGTTTAATTTTCTGAGATTACATCTAAATTTCACTCCTGGTCTGAGACTGAGGTAATTTAGGCATTAAGTATTCAATAAGATGGTTTACAACCACTGCGCTTAAAGATGGGTGTGTCACTGCACTTACTCTACTAGGCCATACTTGGAAGTAAGTTGCTGTTTGTTGTGAAACAACAGTAGACCTAACATAAACATTATGATCTTGCAGTATACACAGTGATCGCTATTCTTCATCCACCCTTCTTCAACCTCATAGATCTACAGGGAATACTTGTGTATGAAAAAAATTATTTTGGGGATCATTATGTATTTAGTAGATATCCTAAGTTGCACATAAGACATTGCACAGCTTGTATGGTGTACAAATGTCGTGCAATAATACCAGTTTGATTGTCTTAGCTCAATAAACTATTCTATAAAACATGATGGCTCTTCAGAATGCTGTTAACTCCATCTTGGATATAAATTAAGATGGCACTTAAATTACACATTTACACCTATAAAATATCCAACAAAGATATAAATATCACATCTTTGGTTGATTGTTCATAAATAACAGGCCTGCCCTGTGTGTGTGTGTGTGTGTGTGTGTGTGTGTGTGTGTACTCCCAGGATAACTCATAGTTGGCAAGTGCAAAATTGAACTACAGCATTTATCTTTTTGTGAGAAATTATAATAGTGAAAGGACATGAGATAACTTGATTAAATCCAATCTACCTAACACTTCTACACTAGATGTGTAAATTCACACATATGTGATGATGCCAACATAAAAAATGTGAAGATCGAGCGTCCAGATAACATCAAGGAATTCCCAAAGTTACACAACTTGATGACCATGCATATTTACACATAATTGGGATTGGCATGTGGCTTAAATTCCCAATGACTAGTATTGCAGTCTGTCAATTTATTACCTGTCTCACTTGTAATATGCCGAACATACCAACTAGTGAGACATATCTTTAGAGTGAAATTATATGTCTGTCATTCTTTGCTAGTGGTTACAAAATGTTGAATNATGACTGATGTACATCATTGTCATATTCCATTTGCTATCAGAACTGGTTTTTTGGTACACTACTTGCTTCAAGAACATTTTCACAACGACTCATTTTGTTCTTCAGACAATTACATAATCATGACTACATAGAATGTTGAAAATTTAAAACTCAGACTTCACAAAAAGTTTTTTTTCCATTTAATTTAAATAAACAAACATGCATGAATCATATAAATGTTAACTCTGTCACCAAGTTGAACTTCATGTCTTTCTCTGAGGGGTCTTTGTATTTGATGTTTTTATCACTGTGACAAAAGCATGCCTGCATGTGTTGTCCAGATCTTGTGACTTAAAAAGAAAATGTTTGTATAAGGGTTGCATTGCATTCACTTTTATCAGGTCACCGAGTAAAATTGTCTGATATGATTGGTTGCATGCAATACGAATACAAATTTTTATAGACCCCATATCATTCTGAATCCTGCACTTAAGTGACTGAATAATAAATAAGTGTACAGGGATGTACATCGTGGTTGACTGGCAGAGTTAAGTAGAGTCTGTGCCTATATATTCACAAACACATGCAAACACAAACAGTTTCATACGTGGTACGTCAAATCTGATTTTCTTCAGCATTCTATTTGGCAATGTGCAGTAACTTTAGACTACCATGTTTACAGTACATGAAAGTAACTTTAACAAAGTTTGTTACATAATGTGCAGAAGTGGAAAGGCATGTAAGAAATGCTGCCATATATTAAAAAAAACATATTTGCAACAGTATCAGGCTCATGTTTTCTTCCAAACTTCCATAATTTACCATTGTTACCACTGTGAATAGGGTTTCTTTTTCTTTAACAGTTCAATATTTCCTTGAAAAACATACAACAAATAGTTCTATATGATCATTTTTTTCTCTTTGTCTACCTCATAAAAGAACAGATGAAATGCCTAGATATATACATAACATGTATATATATATATGTATGTATATATTTGAAGTAAGGACAGTACATTTCCTTTAAATAAGTTTAAACTTCCAACATATTTGAATATTTATTCAATTAATTTACTAATCAATGTTTACATAATGTTTCTTGACTCAAGTAAAACAGAGTACTATACTGAATGAACCTATTTTTTCCTTTCAGTTACTGCTGGAAACTGTAAACACTGCCAAAGAAATACAACTCACTACCCTAATAAGAGGGACTTTTTTAAATTGACAGTTTTTCACTAAAATAAGGAAAAAAGGAGGACAACTTGTCTGCATTTTTGGCCAAAAAATGCCTCGTTCTCGCTCAGGCTCCGTGGCCTCCCTGAGGTCTGTTACCTCCACTGCCAGCGTCGCCAATGGCGCCCACACCACCTACTTTGCCAAAGTCTGGCTGAAACCTCCCCACGAGCTCTTCATGACAGACAAGGGGAAGCACGGCATTAAAATCACATGTGGCAATGAATCCCCACAACTGACCTCATGGTGGATTAGCACCTTAAAAGCAAGCTACCCCCAGGATTCATGCTCTGATGACGGCCGCTTTTTCAGAATGAGGCCAGAGCACGGAGTGTTCCTAAAGCTGGACAAGAAGCACGGGTTGTTGAAGATCAAGGGGAATGACCACTACCAATGGTTTCTGGAGAATATCGAGGAGGTGTTACAGGCAGGCGGGATTGAGGTCACACTAATGGCGGATCTCTTCAACCAAATAGGAAGACAGCTGGGTATTGATGGAATATCAGTAAGTTTTGCTTATGGATGTAACGGACTTAATTTAATGTTAACATTTCTCAAATGATACAGGGAAACTGCTGAATATAGCAAGTCTTTTACCTCACTAATTTCATTTTCAGTTGTGCTATAGTATAAGTGTTTAAATTTTCATTAGAAGCTTAAGGTTAAAAATAGATATCTTTTATCAACTCTTTAATATTCATCAAGTCTTAAATTTTCATCTTATAATAACCTTTTTTTCCCTAACAAATGGGACGTAATATATTTTTAAATAAAAGGTAAAACATAGCCTAGAAGATCAGGATGATAGTTTTCAAATCAAGATCTTAATAACATATCTCTCTACTTCAGGCAACAAGTCTACTGGAGAATCTCCCAGACACTGGAGCCATTCAGAATGGGGCTGGCTCCATCTATAGTCTTTGGAAGACACTACTGGATAGGTGGATGGGCTTTGGCGGAACTATTACCGTGGCATCACCAGTGTTAGACCCAGAGAGGTTCATGGACTTAATTCTCCTCATGATCAAAAATGACCGCGAAGGGTTCACACTTAAACTTGTAACATCAGAGAGATGTGACGGTGAACACAGTTTAAAACATACAAAGATGGTTGCTAGGGACTTGTTAAAGAAACTGAAAACCACCGGAAAGCGAAGGCGGCTAGTGACTGATGAAAAAATAGACTGGGCGTATAAGCACATTGAAACCAAAACGACCATCTTTAACTGCCGTTTTATTGGGATGAGTACTCCACACAAGGCAGAGGTGATGATCACCAGTGCTGGCTTCATACGACGTTACTTCCATAATGATCTCAAAGACTCCATCTCGTTTTTCCGCCTCACACCCTCAGAGTACAGGACAAATTACATAGACCCCTTGGGGATAGAGCAGAAGACAAGTTTCTGAGTCTAGGTCAAACAAAATAGTCAAAGTTCTTCATTTAAAAAAAATATTTAATTATTTTTACGAAATGTATAAAGTAGTCCAGGTTGACTAAAGTAAAACATGGAATTTTTTACGGTTAAGTTTAGTATGGGATTGTCAAATGCTTCCTTATTTGACTGAAATAATAAGTTTTTCATAGTGGCCCAAGAATATCAGTATTTAGATAGATATTACCTCAGAGTGGACACTTACCAACAAACCAAGTTGCTATGTCTACCAATGAGAATGTCTACTCAACGAGGTTGTAATAAGAATTTTGCAAGAGTTGAGTCTCCCATGACAATAACTATATATGACTGTGTATGGAATAACTTCAGATCTATGCAAATACAATAACATTGATAACAACGATACTTTGAAAGGTTTTTTTTAATCTACTGCTAAGATTACAATTTTCATTCTCCAATATTTGCATTTCTGTCTTGTGCTTCCTTATCTCCATTTATGGTGCTCCACTTCAACCAAGGGCATGATAACACTTTGAAAATACGTGTTACATACAAGTTGAACACATCTTAATGTGTGTACTTAAAAGTACAATTCACAAATTCAGTTCGGCTTGTTCAGAAAAGTTTCTGATTTTAAGCATCTTCAGTATAATGCTGTTTTTTTCCCTAAAAAGTTTTCAAGGGTTATGAAATTCTCTTCAGAGTGTAGTTCTGTTTACTTCACAAGAGTCTTTATACCAGAAGTGTTGGCAAGTTTGGTGTGTGCTAATGGAGAGAAATGATGTTTGGTTCAGTTGTTTGTGCAGTATGCTGCAGTGTATGTGACTGTTACAATGACCAAATATACTTTATATGAATGGGGCCTTTTTAATTTGAAAAACACCCAAACAAAGCTATTTCTTTAATGTCAAGTCATCGAAATTGATAATTTTTCATACTAGACATCAACTGCCCTAAAATGGATTATTCCCCAAAAAGTTAGACAAAACCCAGTTTTGTTGCTTTTCTCAATTAAAATAACCATCAATCAGTTATCTTGATAAAGGTAATTCTGATACTGACCAAGCTGTGCATGCAGGGGCCAAAGGTTTAAAACCTGACCAGAGTAGAATCTTTGTGTACCATAGGCTTCAAGGCAGTTATAAGAAAAGAATATGCCTCCTAAGAAGGCAGATGATTTGACTGCTGTGTTGGTTTTGTTACTTGTTTAATGAGCTATTTTTACATGATAAACATTGTATGACAACCATTTTGAATTAAAACTAATAAAATATTTTTAAAAAATCTTGTCATTGGCACCTGTTGGTGATTTATCACAGAAACATCTATCAACATGGGCACCTTCCTCTTTAATTTAAGATTTAATGAAAACAACACACCTTTCACTTTTACTGTGATCATAAAATAAATATTTTTTTATAAACTAGAAAAAAATTTTACCATTGGTGCAAACCCCATGGCGAAGGGAATCTGTGCACAGTAATGTTACACTTGCCCTTCATAACAAGATTCAGATCTCATCTTGTTGAAACTACCTTTCTATTGTATCCCAGAGTATAGAAGCATTTATTCTTCATGACACAATTTCAGAACTCTTCTTCTGGAAAGCACCCAAAATTTTGCATCCTGACATAACTAGGATAAGATTTGAGCTTTACTTCATGACCTAATCAAAACTGACGCTGTGGAAACATCCATATTATATAAGCCACACGCAGTCACTATGGCAACACTTACCCCTCACTACAAGGCTTGGGACACATGTCATAAAAGCTGCCCACGCTGTCTATACTGGCCACTGTCCTCTTTGTTCCCTCTATGTCCAGTTTCAGACCAGCCCCCTCAACCCGCGCCTTTAGTGTCTCGTAGGCGGCCAGGAGGTCCACCATACTGGAGAGGTCAGTTTTACGAATGGTGAAGGGAACTGTTTCCTACAAGAACAATATATTCAGTTCATACACAATTCATAAACAGTGTGAGAAGTTATCGCACACACTGTCAGGAATACCTAGTAAGAAGACAAACATTTCAAACTGTACACTGGACTTGTCATAAAATATAATTTTATTTTCACAGTATACATCAAGGGATACTTAGCCTAATCCGAGAAATATACATGTACTTTCTAATATCACTTATTTGGTTAAACTATACCAAATTTCAAAGAACATTTTTGAGATCTACAGCTTATCTTTTTTTTAATTTATCTAGTGACTTGCTTATTCTGTGTGTGGGGGAAAAATCATGTTAAGATGTGATAGGAATTAATGTATTTTTTTTTCATTAAACTTACATCCACTTTGTCCAAAAACAGAATTTTATTTAATTATCCATTTATTCATTCATTTCAAGTAGTCAACTAATTTAAGTGTGTGACCCTACGCCAACTATTGACTTTTTGAATCTTATCATTATTATATATTCATTTTTCTAATTATTTAATTTATATTAATATATATATATTTATTTATTTAACTTAAAAAGCACCCCTACCCCTTCCATCCACACATTGTCCACTGTCATGGCAACATCAGGCATCAGAACTGTGGTGAGTGCCCCCAGCTGACCGATGATGTCCTGGCGCAGTGTCAGGGAGTGGAGCAGGAGCTGGGTCAGGTTGACCCCAGGAACCTTGAGAATGACCTTCAAACTGGGAAGAAAAAATACAAAAGTAACTGTTACAGTTATTGACTCAGAATGTACATCATCTGCACATTAAAACAATCCCTGTAAAAAAAACAAGTTCCTGAGATGTCTTTAGATTTTATGAAAATTTGTTTGAAGTTCACAAACAATGATAAAAACAGTGCAATGCAAATAAAAAGTTATTATTTGGTTCAAAGAAGCTTGAAAGCTAGGAAAAATTCACCCATTCAGAAATTCCTGTAGGATACTATAGAAATTTCTATAGAAAATTTCATTAAGGATGTGTATAAAATCCACAGGTTAAACAGAAACACAAATTTTATCAGTCACTCTGATCTTATCTTTGGGGACCTACTTAGTGAAATCCAGAGGGTCCGCTGCCCTGTAGGCTGCAGCATTACTGTTAGGACCAACCAGAAACTGAGATGGCAATGAAAACAGGGTCCTCAAGATGGCCGCTGTCTCATTATTGGATATAACTGATGCCTCTCCCTGGTAGTAAAACTTGATTGTGTCCTGAGAAAGATATCAAAGGGGATAAATGGCATCACAAATCTATAGTCGATTTTCTTTTCATTTAGAGTTATTTCATTTTTCATGGGGGGGGGGGGGGTTAGAGATCGTAACTAAGTTTTGACAACTGTCAAACTTTTATTGTGAATTTTCATTTTTGATTTTCAAAGGCACTTTCCCAATCATTTTTTTATCAAACAGTATATTCTTGTTGTGGCAATTAATCAACTTCTACTGATAAGGATTACCAAATTAAAGTATCTGTGGAATAAAAACAAGAACTTAATTTTCACCTGCAAGCACAGCTGGCAAATTGACAATTGTCAACTTCATTTTTAAATCTACAATCAATTATTCACTATAAATTCAGATTATAACAAACCTTGGTAAAGTTATGGGGTGGGAAAACATTGCTACTGCTGATATTTCCAGGAAGGACTGATTTGAGTTTTCCAAAAAAGTTCTCCAAAAGTTCCTTCCTGTCAGATTCAGACATTGCAGTGAAGTCAGCACAGGGGAAAAACACTTCCATCTCATCACTGAAAATAAAAACAGAATTTTTTTTATTCAAATAATCAGTACCAAAACTAGTTGAAATAATTAAGTTTTAATGAAATGAACTCCTTAGCATCATTAAAGACAACAACAGAGAAATTTGTCTTCAAAAGATGTTCTCAAAGCAAACACACATAAATAACAAGGACAAAACTCCCTGAAATAACAATATATAGTACATACGGGCATATCTCAGTACAAACTGGGAAATGGTGATAGTTCATTCTGTTGCACCAGGTACAGTGGCCAAGTGCCTCGCAGGAAGTCTTGTTTGATCTAAAAAAACAAATTGCATTCAACATACTTTTTAAGTAACAAATTATATATAGCATCCGAAAACAAGTTCAGTTGTATTACTATAATGAGTTTCCAAAATTCTACTGTATAAAAATATTGAAGGAAACCAAGACTGGTATTAAAATGTCAGGAATTTATGATGATGAATCACAATTCTCAATCAAATTCAATTAAGTAATTATGACGAACAATCCTTTATTATTAGAACTGAAAAAATTACCAGAAAATAAATATGACTGTGGTGCACAGCAAAAAAACGTTTCCACAAGTAACTAAAAATTATGAATTTCGCAAATACAAACATTGAGATATTTATGTAATTTTAACTAGTTATAAAGATCACACCTGGTACTGCACTGTGGTTTACACTCAGGTAGCTTCAGACTGGGCTCTGCCACTGTCTGCTTAGGAGCTTTGATGGGAGGGACTTAAAAGCAAGAAAATATGGAAATAATATTACATTTAAGAGACACACATTTTATGTGAATTATGACAATGGATCCTTGGTAAACCATCAAGATATGTTTTAAAATAATGCCAGTTGCACAAAGATGGAATCACACACGCAAGTTCAATGTTAAAGTTAAGTTGAGATACTCACCTAGACAAACCATACCAATCTGGACTCGTGTGTATATGTTAACCTACAAGATGAGCTGACCTATATAATTACTCACCAGGACAAACCATATCTGACTGGACTTGTGTGTATGTGTTGGCACACTGGTCATAACCCTGGGCACCACAGGAGCATGGACACTAAATCACAAGAAGCAGCGTGATTGCACTTTTTTATCAGAACATGTTTTTCCCACATACATGTAGTTTTTATCTGCTTTTACAAAACAATGCTTATAGCCTGAACCTGATAAAGAAAATCTCCAGACTATTTGTAGTATTAGTGAATTTTTTGAATTTGCATGTATCTAAATAGGACTTTATATTCATTAATATGCATATCATACATCATCTAGATCTTGTATTTATAGACAACATCAAAACATATATCAGCCTTTATCATCCTCAATCTTGGAGAAGAATAACTGAGAAAACTAGACCACCAGTGCTCACCTGACAGAAGGCCAGGAACTTGTCACACAGGGTACAGGAATCTGCACACAAACAGCTCTGAAAGAGAGATTTTCTTGCATACAAAAGAAGATATAATAAAGTAAACTTCTACAAAAAGGTGCTCAAATAATTTCAATTGTCATGCTGAAGGTGGTTATTACTTAATAATAATAAATAAATAAAATAATAATAATAAATTCAAATACCTAGCTAGCATTTTCTAGGATTAAACCTCTCTTGATTTATCATCTTCAGATACTCACAAAAACTAGCCTGGCCCAGTGGGACAGCCCTTTGGAGTCACAACTAACACACTGGCTACTCACCCCTCCAGCACTCAGCCCAGTGGGACAGCCCTTTGGAGTCACAACTAACACACTGGCTACTCACCCCTCCAGCACTCAGCCCAGTGGGACAGCCCTTTGGAGTCACAACTAACACACTGGCTACTCACCCCTCCAGCACTCAGCCCAGTGGGACAGCCCTTTGGAGTCACAACTAACACACTGGCTACTCACCCCTCCAGCACTCAGCCCAGTGGGACAGCCCTTTGGAGTCACAACTAACACACTGGCTANGCACTCAGCCCAGTGGGACAGCCCTTTGGAGTCACTAGCAGGAACGTGTTGGTGCCATTTACCGCAGCCAGCACAAACTGGCGACATCTGGTGTTCTCATTTGGTGAGCTGCTGGTGAAGCGGAAGTCACTGGTGTCATAGAACATTTGGGCCTTGTGATCTGCAACACTACTGCACCAAGTGGGCTAGAATTAAGCAATTTTAAATGCTATATGTATCACTTTCCTAAGTCATGGTTAAGACTGACACTGTATATACATTTATGGTTTCTGGATTTTCTTTAAATATTTCCATAAAAACTAATGGTTTCATGCAGTTTGGGGTTAACTTCATTTATGAGCCCATTATCTAAAAATCAAAGTAGACACAGCCATGCGAAATCTGCCCAACATGTTTTAGTAATTACATGAACTTCCAATATGCTTTGACAATAATTAGAGCAGACTTAGGAAGAACACTGTACTTATTTGGGGTCACATACCTTTAGGATTTTTCTTTATAAAAGGAAAAACTATTTTCAGAGTCAGCAAGGTAGTTTTAAGAATTCACCCCAGGTCAGTTACCTTGAGGAAAGTTCCCTTATTGGTAAGATACTCCCCCAGCCACGGCAACCTCTCAGTCAAGTGCTGGTGTTGAACCTGTTTAACGTTTCCTGTCGCATATGATTCTATGAAGTAACTGCAATTATACAATTTTTAAAATTAAAATTAAAAATCTATTGATAAGTGAAGATTTCAATAAAACAGCCACAATATATTGGTGTATGAAGGTTAAACTTTTAGTACCAGTAAATAGCATCACTAAAATAATCAGTTGTATTCTCACCCACTGTCATCCAATAGTGAACATTCATACTGCCCAGTGCCACATTCTGGGATTGAATTCATGAGTAATGCCTCAAAGTAATGCTCGGTAATGTCTGCAGCCGTGACACCAGCCAGATAGTCACTGGGATCGTGAAGGCCATTCCTACTGTAAACAAAGACATACCACCCAGCTATAACTTAGTGAAATATATGTTCACTATCACAATTTAACTGCTTCAAATGAAACATTAGAATCCAAAAATATTAGCTGGTAATATACACCATTTAAAAATTTTTTTCAAAATCTCTGGAAGGTGCATCAAGAAATCCAACCCCCCCCTCCATCCACCAGCCCCCTCCCCCTCCCCCATGCAGCCTTCTATATAGAGCCATCAGGGATGAGACCAGTCCTTACCGTAGAAGTAGGAAAATTGGCCCAGGGTCCAGGGTACACAATTCACAAGAATGACCCAAATGACCCTGAAAAAGTCGGAATTCCGACAAAAGTTGAAAAATTCTCATCAGTGAACCATGCTGTTTTATGGTGCATCTATTAAATAAGACTTACCTGCCCTGGTAAAACACTCTGCTGACAGTGACTAAGTTCTTGTCTCCCAGACTCCCAGCCTCAGGTCTAGAGAATGTGTACACCTCAGGGCGACTCATGGCACGCTTGTACCACGCATGCTCAACAGGGTTGTATGTCTTGTCTGCCACAAAGCCGGGAAACACACGGAAGACACCTGTCTCTGTCCCGATGTATCTGGAATAGAATTAACAAGCCTCAGTCTTGAAGAAAAGAAATGCAAAATTAAGGTATTTCATGAGAAAATGAGTGAAGTGTACGAGAAAGAGTTGAACTTGGAGTTAAAAATAGTGATGCAGCCAAGATAATAATTTCATAATATTGTCCCATCTGTAGATAATAATTATTAGTTAACAATGAGAGAGAGAGAGAGAGAGAGAGAGAGAGAGACGGAGGGAGAGAGAGAGAGAGAGAGAGGGGGAGGGGGGAGGGGGGATTGGAGTATCAATACCTCCATACAGATTCAGGTGTTTTCTTCCAGTATTTTTCCATCTCTGCAGTCATAATTACATCAGTTTTCACATAATCTTTCAAATCTGGAAAAAAAAAAGAAATGGATATTAACAAAAAGAATTCCCTAAACAAACAATCCCTTAGATCTGGTCGAAAAAGCATTAATTTACATTATTATAATCATCATTATCTATTATGCCAAAGCTAACACAGTGGTACTTTCTAAAAAAAACAATGTTTGTTAATCAATTATACTTTGGTGAAATGAAATACTGTAGTTGCTAGGTTATCATTCATTCTTGGAAAAATATTATAATTTACATAACAAACACTAAAACTATCAAAAATCCCCAGGACTGAAAAAAACTTAATTCCTTACCATTATTACTAGTAACACTGGATGAATGGAGAAAACTTTCCAAGTCTTTCACATTGTCAATGGCCTCTACCTCCTGTAGGTACTTGTCTGGGTCCTTGAAGGCATCCGGAGCAAACTAAACACAATGCAAAATGTGGTAGGTGAGATATGAATGCCTTTGGAGCAAACTATAAACACAACACAAAATGTGCTATGTGAGATTTAAATGATTCAGTGTAAAGCTTATCACAACACATACAGAATTCATTTTATCCATAAAATTCTGTCATTTACCTTGACTGTAGAGTCCACAGAAGAAAAGCTTCCATATCTCTGGCAGATCTCTTCTGTTTTATTAATCAGTTTTGCCTTCAGGTCCAAGCGGTGATAACTAGAGTGTTTCCCTGACGTAGTACCTGCTTTCTGGAAAGATTTTATAACAGTGAGAATATTTAACAGTGTACTTTACATATGTTTACAATACCCCTTATATAAAAAGCCAGAATTCCAAGCAACATCAGTGTTTCTTTCAAGAAAGTGCAAAAAATCTTATATCCTAGAAATAACAACTCACCTCTTCTGGTATCTTCTGCAACATGTCCATATCAAACAGCACAAGACCCACTGTGTATTGACCTTTGGACCCTGGCAGTGGCTTGTAGTAGTATGTGGCATTTAGTTTATAGTTGACTGCCCCATCAAACTTGCTGCTGCCTCTAGACACAGGAAGATTCACCTGAAAATGTGATATTGTGTTAGATTAGCAACAGAGCACATTCTGTGTTACTGTCAAAATGTTATTGTGGTAGATAGATATGACAGAGCACATTGTGTAGTTCACCATTTCATCAAATAAAATTATACTGTTGCCTTAAAAAACTTGCCAGTCCACTTGTATATAGAGTAGAGAAATGTATTCCTTTGTTTAGAGTAAAATATTTAGTTAACCACAAAGAACTGGGACTTACGGAAGTTAACATTTCTCTCACACAAAGTTAAATATTACCACACCAATAACTAATATATATTTATATATAATATCAAATTCATGAAGACTCTCCCATCTCACCAGCTGTTTATCAAAGCCTGGGATTCCCCTCAGAATATTTTTCTTGGCCTCCTCACTGAGGGTGGGTTCCAGGGCAGAGAGGTCCACAAACAATGGGTTACTGGTGTAGTCCTTAGGCTGAGGCAAGTTCCTGTGCATCAAGACCTTACCTGGCATAGAATGTTTGTTATATTACTTAAATGCATCATTACCAGGAAGGGAAACAACTGAAAGTCTGCTGAGAGTGTAATCTCCATCGATTTGCAAAAGTAAGCCCCATCCTTTTTTTAACAACTTAATTACATCAAACTAACCCTTACCTGCATCATAAATCTAATGGAGGGTGACTCTCTGTTATACAGAATAGTACAGTGTACATTGTAACATTATCATGGCAAGCAGGGAAGATGTTTAGACTCTGTCAATTATATTCAGTTTTTCAGGGTTAGGTTATGTACAGTTATAGCTGTGATGCTGCAGTCGTGGTGACAAAGACTGACATCTAACATTACAATAACACACTGACATGTATAACAGTCAAAATTGCTAATGAAATTTATTAAGCAGATGGCCTTTTAAGCAGACTGCCATTTCCTTACCGTCTGTTCCTATGAGGAAAGCATAGCTGTGAGTTCCAATCTTGTACTGGCTTATGTCTGAGAACATGATCTGCAATGGCATGTCAAAGGCTACCACTCCGGACAAGGTGTTATCTATTTTGCTGACTACAGGTAGTCCCATAGTTGTGACCAGACCTTGAACAGAAAATAACCCTAAGATTGACAGGCCATGGAGAAAGTTATTTCTATTTCTTTCCACCAAAATATGCATTGATATGTCAAATGAGGCACAGATATAAACTTGAAAGCTTAAACTGGGCAAATCAATAACTGCCTAAAAACAACCAAGAAGAAAAGGTATAAGGTAATAAGATGTTTAAAAAAATCTTTAAAATGTCAAAATTTCTAAAACTTAATATATATATATATATATATATATATATATATATATATATATATATATATGCATTCATTTATACTCTGCAGTCTCATACCATGATTTTTATCCAGGAAAGGGACAGTCACAGTGGGGTTCTGCTCATCCCATATTGGAAAGAAGTTGTAGTAGCTGCTCATAATAGTCTTCAGCTCCTTGTACTGGCTGTCTCCTATGATTTTGATCATTCCAGGTGGACCTGCTGGCTGAGAGCCATCAAATCCTGCTGCAGGATAGGGCTGGGGATATAAGGTAAAAAAAGAAATATGAAAAC